CGTCCCAGCCATCGCACGCAACAAACCACTCAACGTGCTTTCCGGCAAAGAAAAAGAAGCAATGAACAAGTTGAAGAGGGATGAAAACATCGTGATTCTACCGGCAGACAAGGGACGCCTAACGGGGATCATGGACAAACCGGACTACATCAATAAAGCAAAGGCACTACTTAACGATACGACTACGTACCGCTGCTTAGAACGCGACCAAAGCAAGCAGCTAGCAAACCAAATCAATAAGAACTGAAAGCAACTTCAAGATCTCCACAAGATTACAAAAGAGGAATATTGGAGAATGAGAGCTCGTGATTCGGCCACTCCCCGCTTCTACGGACTCCTGAAGGTACACAAAGAATCAATACCTCTCCGGCCAATTGTATCACTTCCTGGAACAGCGACCTACAATCTTTCGAAAGATTGAAGCATCTCATTAGTGGGTCTCAACACTCAATCAACAATGCGGGACAATTTTTGGAGAAACTAAAACACGTAAGCATCGATCAGGACGAAATAATGGTCTCATTTGATGTGAGCTCACTATTCACGTCTGTGGACCTGGATTCGGCTAAGACAACTGTGGCCGAATTATTGGACAACAACGGCACGCCAACTGGATCACTGGAGAAAGAAGACCTCTGCAGATTACTCGACTTATGCCTGATCACACATTTCGAGTTCAACGGAGAATATTATGAACAACTACGAGGGGCACCAATGGGATCGCCAATTTCAGAATTCATTGCCGAAGTCACAATGCAAAAGTTGGAACAAATTGGGTTGCCCGATATAAATCCCAAAATATGGATCCGTTACGTGGACGATACATTTGTGATCATCAAAAGGAGCGAACTGCAACGAGTGAGCCAACTGTTAAACAACGTTTTCGACGACATCAAATTCACAACCGAGGAAGAAAACAACGGAAAACTGGCGTTCCTGGACATCCTCATCACTAGATTGCCGAACGGACAACTACAAACTGAGGTCTTTAGAAAGGCGACACATACGGACCAAATCCTCAGCTACCACAGCAACCATCCAAATTGCCACAAACGAAGCTGCATTCGGACGCTTTTCAAGCGGATCGAGACACACTGCAGTACAACAGAATCCAAGATCAAAGAAGAAAAGCGCCTATACAAATTGTTTCAGAAAAATGGATACCCGAGGAATTTCATCTGGAGAACACTCAGGAAGCCAAATACGATCGATGCAACAGGACAAACTGCAAGCAAACGTGTCACACTTCCGTACATCAAGAACACCGCTGAAATGACGGCAAGGCTCCTACGACAGCACAATACAATGGTCGCCTACAAGCCTGCGAATACTCTGCGGAGGACACTATCAAGACCAAAGGGGAAGTTAGATCCAATGGCGAAGAACAATGTCATATACAGGATCCAATGCAAGGACTGCGACAAACGGTACGTAGGACAAACAGGAAGGAAGCTCTCCACCAGAATACACGAACACAAACTAGCCACTAAAAGACACGATCAATTCTCCCTCATCTCCGCACACAAAGACCAAGAAGGACACGAGTTCGACTGGAACGGCGTTCGCATACTGGCTCAAGCAAGAACGAAACGAGAACGCGAATTTATGGAGACGTGGTACTCCACCGAAGAAGCCATCAACAAACACATTGAAATTGATCCCATTTACCAGCCACTAAGAGCGAGAGAACGCCAAAACCACAGAACTTAGAGCCGCGAAAGCGACCATACGAGGAACCCATACAAGAAGCAAGAAAGCGTCATTCAAACGGACACATCAATTGGATTGGAGGAGGCGCCCAATCAAAGCACCAAATCAACCGGCGGACGCAGGGACATTAACCGCCACGGTGGAGGAAATAGGGCGGTACAAGCAACCAATCAAACTCGAGAACGGCAGACCACAACGCAATGCGAATCAAGGCCAGAGAGAACAAGCTACTAAAATTAGAAGCCGTTGGGATAACCAATCAACACAAAGGAACACAGACCACAACGCAACAAGGATCACAAACGGACCAATAGATTCACTAGACTCGTTACACTTCAGGTAGCCAATCACGTCAGAAGATAACAGATAGCCTTTGACTGCTATATAAACACACGCAGGCAAGGAAGAAGTACTCACCCAACCGCGCACTGATGATGTCTCCTCGTATGGTGACGAAAAGTTTGCAAGCCAATTGCCAAGCTCGGCGAACAGATCAGCAGCCATCTGATCAACAACCAATCCTTGAGCAACTCTTCTCCAACTACCGCTTCACTCATCTCCTGCTGGTAGGTGGCTTCAACACCCCAAAGGCCTCCTAGATGTATCTCCAGCGCGTCGAATCAGGCGGACATTTTGCAGCGTTCAACAGAGCACTTGGACTCAACATCTCGTTGTACCCACCAGATACGCGCAGGCCAACTACAATCCCTCCTGGATTTGGTCATCACTAACAAAAGACATTTCGTTGATCAGGTACCAATTAACGCCCCACTGGGACATAGCGACTACTGTGTGCTGACCTTTGGTTTCATCTGCTATTAGGCCAGAAATCCCAAACCTCAAACGTGGTTTCGACACTTCTGCCGTGAAGACTTCTCAGGAATGCGCATCTTTCTTGAACAAGTCACACTGAGACCAGCTCCAGTGGAAGGACTAAATAGGACCATTGTCCAAAAAGTTCGCGAGGCTGACGCGATGTTTGTCCCAAAATAACGGCACGCGCTCGGATGAACCGCAGGCTGCCAAAAAGGATTCGGCGACTGTGGAAAAAAGATCCCAACTCTTTTTCAAAAAGTTGACTACAGGGGATACAGAAGATGAGCTGACATTTCGCAAAATGCGGAACCGCTGTAAATCAGAAATCCGCAAATGGAACATACGAAAACAAGCCACCATTCTGTACCTCGCTCGAAGAAACAAAAACGTCCTGTTCACATACATGAGACATCGCCGCAGGAACAAGCCATCCGCGTTCTCCTTGAGGGACAGAATCGGAGAACCGAAGAATGACCCGACAGTAGTATCTGAGGTTTATAGAGAACACTATGCCTGTCTATACTCAGCCCCAGCGTCTTCGTCACATCCACTCTTGTCAAGGCGGAACTATGAACAGCCTCTAATCGACTTGGTCTTCACGGTGGAGGACATTCGTCAACTCTTGCACCAGATCAACCCATTCTGCGCGTTGGGGCCCGACGAGATCCATCCAAGGATCCTGAAAGAAACGTCCTCCACACTGGCAAATCATTTGCACCTGGTGTTTCGTCAGTCGCTTGACGAAGGCCGCCTTCCCTCTGCGATTGTCACGCCAATCTACAAAACTGGTGACCGACTGTCGCCTGGCAGCTACAGGCCTATAAGCCTCACTAGCGTGCCGTGCAAGGTGATGGAACGCATTCTGAAGCGAGCCATCCTGGACCACCTTACTTCCAGCAACCTGATATCTCCAGATCAACACGGATTTCTCCCACACCGCTCTTGCGTGACAAACATGCTCGTGTTTATGGACAGCTTAACTCAAGCTAAGGACGAAGGACTCATATCAGATGCCATATTTTTTGACTTCTCAAAAGCATTTGATAGGGTCCCACACGTCCCGCTGCTCCACAAACTCGAGTCTTACGGGATTCAAGGGAAAATCCTTCGCTGGATCAAGGCGTTC